CCACCCATGAACAATTTACCACCTTTCAAACAACTATATATATAATCTGAAATTTGACAAATACATGTTGTTGAAATTTTAATCCTTGTTTGTTCCTTTCTTTTGCATAGAGAATCTGCTGCATGCAGAGGAACTTTCCATTTTAGTTTTATATTCATTTGCTGTGTCACATTTTTAATACAAGGACAGGCAATGTCATGCAGTAAAATCATTGATTAATTTTCTGGTTGAATCTTTTCTGTTCCAAAGTATCAATTCAGTTTTTTCTCCAACTTCACATCTTGTTGGTATTGCATCTTAAAATATTATTTCAATTTTATCATTTTAAAAATTTTGCATGATTCCTGAACATTCTTTGTTACAGAGGCACTGTGGAGTAATGAATAGTGGCTCAGAATGAGGAAACAGAGAGCCAAGTTCAAATTCCAGTCTGGTCCATTAGATTCACTTAGGTGCTAATACCTTTGGGAAAGGTATGATTACTCTTCCTCTTCCCCCCACCCCAGCTATGAGTAAATAGCAGGACAGACTGGATTCTATAGCCTTGGGTGGCAACCAATCTAGGAGAAAGTAACTCTGTATGCAAAACTGTATGTAGTCCTGTCATAGCACATACTATACAGCTAAAGAAAGGATCATATGCATTGGTTCGATGATTCTGACTATGTTCAACCAGGATGATGAATTGTCATGAAACAAAATCTTTTTAAATTTTGCAAATTATTCCTGTTTCTGACTTTTATTACAATTCTATGTAAAAAGTAGATAACAGAACAGAAAAATTCAATTAACAATTTTCACGTCTTCTGATCAATCAAGAGATGTCTATCCAATCAATTGACAATATTTCAAAGTCCTTTTCTGGAGCCCCTCTCAAACTGATGCATATAAAGCTACTCCTCACTTAACAACTTACCTGTTTAATGACTTATGACTAGCTATAAAATCTCATATAATAAAAAAAATTTAAAAAGTTCAGCCAGTTGTTTTATGTTTGTTGTGGAGGAAGTATGGTGGAGTAATGGATAGTGGCTTGGATTGAGGAATCTGAGAGCCAAGTTCAAATTTCAGTCCCATCCATTACATTCACTTACGTGCTAATACCCTTAGAAAAGGTATGAATCCTCTTCTTCTCCTCCCAGCTATGGGTAAAATAGCTGGACAGACTGGGTTTTATAGCTTTGGGTAGCAACCAGTCTAGGAGAAAGTAACTCTGAATTTAAAACTGTATGTAGCCCTGGTGTAGCATCTTACTTATTATAAAACGCAGATTGTGTGTGTGTGTGTGTAACGTTTATATATTGGATTGGATTTCCTACATTTTTCAACTGATTTCAACAAAACTTCACAGGACTACATAAAATTACCGTGTGGTGGTTCTAACAGCACCAAAAATGGGAAAAATACAATTGTTTTTGCACAAAATCAATTTGAAAAAACGATTAAGAGACACCGTGAGAATGAAAGGGGGACAACTCACATCGGGTTAAAAACCCAGGTTGTTTGTGTGTGTGTGTTCCTTTATATATAGGATCGGATTTCCTACATTTTTCAGCCGATAAAACAAAAATTCACTTTTTTTTTTTTGGCAGGTAGCGTTTCTTATTGTCTTGCACACTTTTTTCTTTATTTTTAATATTCAGAATGCTTTAAAAATTCCATTTACAAGACAATTGTTTATAATAAAATTCTATTCAATTGGTAGAGACTCATAATGATTGAAAACAATGTTTTTGTTTGAGTTTGGGTTTGACCAATTCGTAAAAAAAAAAAAAAAAAAAAAAACTAATTAAGACATGCGTTTCCATCAACCTTAAACAATAATCTTTGTCAATTTTATTTTTCAGTCTTTATGATGGTGGATACTTGATCTATCTCTTACTGTTATATCCCCGGGCAACGCCGGGCTCTACTGCTAGTATACTATACAGCCAAAGAAAGGATCATTGGTTTGATGATCCTGACTACAGTTGAATGATGATGTGCAAAAATTTTGATTGAAGAAATTTTCTCCTTCTTCAAAATGAATCAAAATAAAATGAAAAATAAATATTTACACCATGCAAACTCAAGCAATGTATAGAATACAGAGTTGATATTTTAATTTGTTTATTACATTTACTGTTTTGTACATTACTGTATAAATATTTAGAAATAAATTACAAATGTTACAAAAGTGACATTAAAGCTAGCCAAAACTGGTTGACACAAACCAATTGCATATATAGTATACCTTAAAGAGCAGTCAGGTACAACTTTTCAGTTAATGACCAGCTTGTTTAGTGACCAGGTCATTGGAATGGAATCTAGTTGTTAAGTAAGGAGTGGTTGTATATTTATCTTCCCACAAGAAACTGGTAAACATGGATAAATGTGCCTGCAATAAAATATGGTGTCAAAAGGATAGTTTTTCCCAAGACATCACTTTTAACACCCTTTGCTCTACACACTATTTATTTATTAGATTTTTTATTGGAATGGTTGGAAAAACATTGGCTAATTGGCAAATGATTCAAACCTTATAAAATGGTAAATAATAAGGATTTTCCTTTTTTGGGTTCATATACTTTAATAATTTAGTAAATGTTTATAAATTTATGAATAAAAAATTGTTTTCACATTTATTTCTTTATAAATTGGTAAATGATAAATATTGCATTGCATTAGTTTTAATTGTATTAGTTTTTAGAATATTGTAACTATAAAATTATTCTTGTAAATAAGCAATCTAATAAATAAGTTTAATAAGTTTTTGTAGTAAATTTTCAAAAACCCTCACCAAAAATGTATAAATTCACTTTCATCATGTGTTCAAGCTTTATTCCATTTCTAATCATTGCTTTTTAAAACAATAAACATTGCTGAAGAGTGAAAATAGTTAAAAAGTAGTGTCACAAGAAAAAACATCCTTTTGACACTATGTCTTATTGTGGGCATGTTTATCTTGTTTGCTAAAACTTCAATCTTTCAGAAAATGTCTTTAACTAAGAAACAATGCTAACTCTCTGTAATTCAAGCCTTAAAAAGCCCACAATTTTTAACACAAGTTTATTTAATTAAAGATGAAAAACCAAAGGTACAAAATATAGTTAATGTATAAAATCATCTTGATGTATAGATTCAAAAACAATAATTTTTTTAACAATTATTTGTTTGATTATTTTTAGTAAATTCATAATTATTTACTCGTATATCTTTAATTGAAATTAATTTTCTGGAAAGTTTTTCAAAATTCAACTAATCTTTGTAAGTTTGTATATTATTATATATAGTCAACTATTTTCTGTTGGAAATTTTATTACATATTAGTCAGAAGTATATAAAATGATTGAAGATAAAAAAGATGAAATAATAATGTAAACTAGTAAATACAGAATAAAGTTTTTTTTTAAATAATTCTAAAACATTTTAAAGGATTTGGTAAACCAATGATTGTTCCTTAAATTATTAAATATAAAAACTTTGTTTAGATGCTTGGTGTCACTTCTAAAGTGTAAATTTTAACAAAAAAAAAGGATTTAATACAATTCGACATTATTGAAAAAAGACAATATATTTAATAAAGAATCCATATTGATTTATTTGTAAGTTTCACTTTTAAAATTACAAAATAAACAAAATTTCAAAAGGAAATAAAGTATAAATATGATATTTAAATATTGATTGGAGAACATTTTAATAAAAAAGTTTCTTCTTATTCACTTATTTTTCAAAGAAATAATTGTAATAATTGACAAATCAAGCAATTTTTTTTGAAAAATTCTATCAGTTTCATTTCTATAATGAATGAATATCTTAAAAGACAAAATTTCCTTTTATGTTATTAGTATTAAGGGGTTTCTACTTTCATTTTCTCCTTAGACAGCTGATATTAAATATCCATAATATATTAAACTTTTGCTAATATGTTTTGTGGAGTGTACACATGTCTGTAAGTTTTGTGTTAGGAATGGTATTATTTGGGATTTCATATGCTTTAGCAAAACCATACACTTGTATGAATAATTTCTTAACAAAAGGATTATTTTCAGAGAAATATTACAAATCTGAAATTTACTATAAGTAGAAACATTTTTTTCTGAATTGACTATCATAATTGTGATTATTATAGTTTTCTTGTGATTCTATTCAAACTAGATCTTGATTTAAAAAGTCTTTGCTGAATCTAGCTTTATTCATAATAACTGATAATAATACATAATAGAGCAAACATAAAAATGGTTTGTCACTCAAGAAATATTTGTAATGATTTTCATATACAGATTGGGAATAACTTTTAATTTATAAAATAACCATTCCACAAATAGGGTTGCTTTAAGATGAATAATATTTTAGCAAGACAAAATACCTTACATGAATGATTTGCTTAATTAAATGAAATGCACAATTTCATGCTAAAGATGTAATGTAGTAAATGCAAAATTCATTGCTATTTTTTAATGGCTTTAGAAGACTTGGTTTCTCTTTTTTTTAATATAACACGGATATTGCTCAATCTTAAACTAAGTAGAAAAGAATGGAAGCAATTATTAGGGTACATTAAAACAGTGATTAAAATTAAAAGGAAGCTATAATTAGGGTACATTAAAACAGTGATTAAAATGAAGTCCATAGCAAAGGAGAACTATTTAAAAATACAAACTTCTGGTACATAAACCTTCTTCAAGTAATACATTGACTTATTTAGAAGCAGAGGAAGTACTAGATTGCCTAAATTCTTAAAATTATATAATTATACTCAAACTGTATTTGTGCAAAAATTAAGCTCACTCAGTGTTCAAGAGACTAGCTTTTTTAGCTTAATCATTGAAATAAAAATCTTTCATAGATGAAACACTGTTCGAAGAACTTTGAATTTGGTTTTTATTGTCTTTTTTATTCCCATTAAATGTGTAATTTTCCTCATCCTCTCTCTTATTTGGCTTCTCATCATCTTTAAGGCTTGATTTCTTTAATGAAGCATGTTCATCTTCAGATAAATTTGTGTGTGGGCTTTTCACTTCAAATGCAGGGCTGTTATTTTGTGGTTGATGAAAATCTCTGGCCAGGTTATAATGTCTGCTTGGGATTTTGTTTGTTTGAGTTCCTGTTGTGACTTGGTTCTGTACAGAAATCAATGTCCCTTGATGGAATCGGTTGCCTATGTTGCTTGATAATGATGACAAATCAGATCTAGGTGTATCTGAAAAAATAGAACAAACATATGCATACTGTGGGTATCTATGCATAAAAATGAATTGGTAAAACAAAGGATTTTAAACCACATAGTCTAAGTTTTTCTGTCAATCTCTCTCTGTGTATATTTTAGTTTTTAGTAATTTGTTTTTGTCACAAGCATTAAAATAAGCATTTAAGTTTGAGTAAAAACCAAGCTTCAAATATAAGGTGACCCCAAAAAATGGGAACTTTTTAACAATCCAATAAAACCAAGAGTGATGGAATAAAAATATTTTATTCATAGTAATTGAAACCTTAAAACATGCCATTTAAGAAACAATGATGGAATTTTCATTTTCTAAAAATTACGTCCTGTAGATGGCATACTCCTGTATGAATGCATTCTTGAAATCTGCTGTTGAGATTCCTCATTGACTGCTGCAACATCTCAGCTGAGATACTGTGAATTTCATCTTGAATTCTAAATGGCGAAATGTTTACTTGCTCAAGGTCACTGTCTCACAGTGTTGCCACTTGCTCATGTCTGGCAATACGCACTTCAAAAATTCCGTTTTTTTGGGTCACCCTGTATAAGATAACCATAAAAAGTTCTTGGCAATTTTTATGTCTTTTAGGAAGAAGTGATCACTGATACACAAATGAGTGCATGACATGTGGGGAAAATAGTAGGGATTGGGTTGGGAGCATTGTTCTTAACCAATGTGGGTGTGTTGCATACTTTTATCAGTCATCGAGCAGCGGTGAGGAAACATGATGGTATTGTTTTCAAATATCAAATACTGCAGTAATAGAAGATTTGTTAAGAAAGATGACATACATGTAGTAAGAACCTGGATGCAAATTTATCATGGAAAACTCAGAAATCAGTGCATTTTCTATATATTAGTAAATGACTTTCTCTTTTATTTAATTTTCCTATATATATGTGTGTGTGTGTGTGTGCTGTGGGGTAAATAGCAGGGTAGACTTGGCTCTCTAACCTTGGTTAGCAACAACTCATTGAAAAAGACAACACTGAATTAAACAAATTGCTATGTAGACCTGGCAAGGCATATATTATGCAACTGTTGTAAAGTTTATCAAGTTCACAATAAACTATGGCATCACGCTGTGGGCTATGAATTTAACTGAGGTCAAATAAAAATATATATAAATATATATCTTTAAAAAGGGAATTCTGATGTTTGCTTATTTAGTCAGATATTGATAAGTGGTTTTAGCTGAGAACTTTTCAGCACCACTTGCATGTCTGTGTGTGTGTGTGTGTGTGTGTGTGTGTGTGTACATGAAATTATTTTGTAATTAATTCTGCTTCTTTTATGTGGTGTGTCCCTTCAGGACGTTGGTGATCATGGCTCTCCACTTCCTCTTATCCCTTGTAGTTCTCAATAAGTTTTTGTCTTTTTGCTACTTCTCCCAGACCCTGTTCTGTCATTTACTTGCTTAAGCACCTCTAGCTATGTCATGTGTTGCTTTCCTTTGTCCCTCTTTTCCTCTATTCACCCTGTGAGTACCAGATTTTCCAAGCCTTCCTTTCTCATAACATGTCCCAGAAATTTCAGCTGTGTTTTCCTGTTTAGTATATGTTTCCTCTTTGCATCCTCTCCAAAACCTTCCAACATTCACTGCCATAAAGGAGGATAGATAACATGTAGCAATTCAGTACTCTTTTCTCTGTTATCAACAAAATCCTCCTGTCTTGTAATACTTTGCCTAACTTTTGGAATGTGTCTTTGGCCATCCCAATATGTCTTCAGGTCTCAGCATCATACTTTCTGTCCTCTGCAAGAACACTTTCCAGATATTTAAATTTATGCACCTTCTGCTTGATTTTGGTGTCCCCTGTAGTGGGAATGGCGGTTACCACGTGTTGAGGGTTCATGGCGTGGCTGTTATGTTGTTGATAGAAGTCAGACGAAGAAGAAACGCATGTAAGGTTCAGATACTCCTGCCCGCCGAGCCCAACTACATAAAAAGGTTGGACTTTGATTAAGTCCAAAGAAGAAGGTAAAGAAAGCAAACAAAACACAAGACTGATAATATATGTATATACAAATATATATCAATAACAAATTACAATACATGGAAACAGTACGAAGGACGAAGTGTGTGTGAATATTCTGTATGTGCGTGCGTGTGTGAATATTCTGTATGTGCGTGCGTGTGTGAATATTGTGCTTAGCGTATTTCCACGCTATCCCTTGTTAGCGCCTACATTTCGAGGTTGATAGCTGAAATCCTGAAGGAAAAAAAGAGTTTATCTCAAGGTGTCAGTGCACAGGCCTGAAGGAAAAAGAGATAGAGGCCAAGGGTCAGCGGCTATTTATAGCCAGGGAAGAGAGACCCCTGGTGAAAGGGTTAACAGAGTGAAGGAGGAGTTAACTCTGACACCCCGACCTGTTAATCACATTTCAGGGCTCATCTTTTTGCTGATGACAATGTATTCTGTCTTCTTGTAGTTTATGCTTAGTTCCTTTGCTACCTTCTGTAGAAGGTTTTGTAGTTTCATTTCCATGTCTGCTAATAGCACTGTGTCATTTGCATACCTTATGTTGCTAAGATTGTGGCATTTGCTGCTGGTATAGGTTCTTGATTATTCTAATTATTTTGTGATATTAGTTTTAAATAATTTTTTTAAAGCTAAGTTCATTTTAAAACTTCTATTTTAGATACTTATCAAGATCACTTGATTGGCAGAACTATATATTTTAGAAATGAAAAAATAAACTGTCAATAACATTGTATCAGAACAGGAGATGCTAGAAATGTAATTTCTTTTATAAAATGACAAAGAAATTCCTTCAGATGAGCAATTAAGTTTGCTTTTTAACTGAAACATTTTGAAACCTCTTTTTGCTACATTGTACCACACACACACACACACATATATGTAATGGCTGGCCACTCATTTCTGAGTATACTCTTCTGCTAGTATGGCTAGCTAATCCCTGTTGCAGACACTTGCTCAGGCACATTTGTGTTTCATCAACACCCATAGTGCCAACCTATGTTGAGTGACCTTAATTATAGTTTCTAGGAGAGGGTGCATAATCTGGTGTGATCAGTAACTGAACAAGGCCAGTAACACTCAAACCTTCAGTCACAATGACTTGTGACTTCATGGTAGCATAACCATCAACAGTTTCTAAATAGTTTTGACTACTCAACTTGTAGTACAATTTTCAGACACTTCCTAATCGTGCTGCACATTGGGATTGCCACTTGCCCCAGGTTGATAAATCGATGATGGTGAGATTTGAACTTGAGATTCAAGGTGGACATGTACCTATTACACACACACGCACACACACACACATATATATATAATAAGTGAAACTAAATGTGCATATATCTGCCTCTACATTGAGTTTTGCAGATATTACATAAACTTGTCAAGGGCTTAATTGTAAAATTCTCTTTTAAAATTTAAAATTTTGTTTTATACACACACACACATATATTTATGAGTTAGGATCAAATATAGATCAAATATGGATTGTACTCTGACAGAATAATAAGATAAAGAACAAATAGGAAACATCTAACACATTTCGCTTTTATTAAAGCTTCATCAGAGATTGAGATATAGAGAAAAAGAAAGAAATACTGGTATTTTTATTTTTGTGTTGTTAGATTGATAAACATTTCCTATTTGTTCTTTATCTCATATATATATATATATATATATATATATATATATATATATATATAAAGTTTTTTAATCTGACCGAAAAAGGATTTCCCCAAAATGTTTGGTCATTTGGTCAGATTTTGAAAAATGGTTTGGGCCAAGAACTTTTTAGCATCTTGTGTATATCTCTATCTATAAAAGGCAGGATGTGTGTGTGTGTGTGTGTGTGTGTGTGTGTAACAAATGCACAGCTGCAATTTTTGATGGATTTGCACCAAAATTTACATGCACATGCTCCAAGTTAGTAAAATAGTAAAAGAGAGAGATCATTATCTGAAAGTATATCAAATAAGTCTGATAAGTATAGTTAAATGACAACCATGTTGTTTATAAGGTTATTTTAAAAAATTTCTTGTTAAAAAGAATGTACTAACATTGTTAGTGTTATTGGTTAATTTTTCTTTGTAATTAAGTGGTTAAAGGATAGAAATTGACACCAAAATGATTATTGTGTGTGTGTGTGTGTTTGATTTGCAATAAGAATAACCCTCTACACATGTTGGAATGTTGTTTTGCTAAATTCTTTTTCTAAACCTGATGCTTTTATAAAATGTTTTTTTTATCAAAAGTTAACATGGTAATGGTAAAATACATGTGAGAACAGCTAGTTAGAGTAATTTATGATAAGAAAAATACTTTACCAAGTTCTGAATGTTCATTTAAATGTATTTCAGTTTGAATTTTTTCTGATGCAATTTCCTGATGATTCTTTTCTCTATTCTTATCATGGTTTTCTGTTTTAGCAAGCCACTGTAAAATATCTTCTTCGTTTGCATTCTGAATATCTGAAATCGTAATTTAAGAATTTTATAAGAAGGAAAAGATGAAATCAGCTTTATTATATCTTGTAATTTAACTCTTTATTTCTACTTAAGTTTTATTGTCAAAGCTGTTTGTAATTAAAGTGAGTTTTGCTTTTTATCTCTAAAGGAACAAAATAAAGAAAATTTAAGATATTTTTTTCCCTAATGAATTAAAAAAATTGTTCTCTTGGAATGAGGAAAATGAAAAGGTTCGTGACAACATTTTTAAAAAGATATCAGTATTATCTTTTAAAAGTAAAAAGTGAAGAAAATGAGAATAACAATAATAAATTCTGTATTTGTAAAAACCCCACTTGCTGCACACAAGAACTAAAATTCAATCTATTAAATGGAATACAAGATAAGAAATTGATTTTCATGCTGTTCTTTCCTACTAAATAATAGATGCCAGATATGTTTTATATATGTCCAGAGTTAGGAAAATTTATATAATTATGAACATTATTTCTCAAGTGTTAAAAAGAAAAACATCTTGTAGAGAGAGTTTTATTATTGATTTCTTGATGACTATTTGATAAAAAATCTGAAAGTCAAAGTAAATTTATGAAAACTTTAAAGCACATAATGTATTATAAATGTACAAACCTTCTACCATAGCCATATTTTGTGTAGATAAAATTTCACGGTATGTCTGTCTATCTCCATCCTCACCTGAGAACCACTGACCACAGGGAAACTTATACATCCATTTCTCTGTTTGGTCATACACAGTCACATAATCAAGGAACCATGCATAAGCTACAAAACAAAATCATATATTAAACAACAGCCATATTGTTTCTAATATTAATTCTAAGTGATATATATATATATATATATATATATATATATATATATATATATATATATATATATATTAAAACTCATTTTTCATAAACAAGAAAGTATATCTTGTCTAGGAAATGGTTATATTAAAATGTGCTCAATACACAGTCCAAAAAACTCAAAAAGTGTAAAATTTGTTTAATTTGATATATATATATATATATATATATATATATATCAAATATATATATATATATATATATATATCAAATGCAAAAGTTGATAGACAAATTTATACACTTTAAAAATTGGGATGTGTATCCAATAAATATAAACTTATATCATCTTTTAGGACTTCATCAGACTAAATTTGTTACATTGGTGCACATGTGCACAAACAATGGATGCTGGGAATTTTAAAATTTAATATTTTGGTAGGGTATATAATCTACTCAATTTCATTTTGATTCTTTTGCTTTCCATCACAGTGATAACAGAAGATCTGCTAAGAATGTTGAAATATTGTAAGAGCTGGAGCACAAATTTACTGTGGATTGCTTTGTGATCAAGGTACTCTCTAGACATTTTTTCTTAGTGAATTATTTTCACCTTTGATCAGAGAAGAAGTTTTTATGTCAAAATTGTGGTTAGTCTTGTTATAGTGAGCAACTAATGCATTTAATGTATTGTTTTGTAAAATGTCCCTTTTGTGTTCATATAATCTTTTATTTAGATTCCTTGAGGTTTCCCCTATGTATCTTTTGTGACAATTATTACAAGTAACAGAGTAAATTCTTTCAAGTTTTAGCTTATTGTTTTGTTTACTTTTGACTAAGTCTCTTATTGTTTTAGATGTAGTAGTAACAAATTTAATATTGAGTTTAGATAAGTTCTTTTCAGTTATAGTGTTCTTGATATATAAAAATGTAAATGCACATACACTGTTTGAATTTGAAATCTTAAATGATATTTATATATAAGTACAATATATATATAGGCTAATGATGAAAATGCATTTATTTTACATAACATATTTTTCTCAACGTAACCTCCTTTGTCAATGCACTTAATCACACAGATCAAGTTTCAGTTAATAACTATGCTAGGCAACAAACTTCTTAATCCACCCTTTTATATGAACGTTCAATTTATATATAGAATAATTGATCAACTTACGTAATTCTAGTCTGTTATGCCCAATTCGAATTTTCTCAATGTAGCCAACATTAAAAGTTTTCAGAATAAAATGATCTTCCTATAAAAAAAGAAGCTAAAACAATTTTAGAAGATAACATACAAAAAATCTATACAAAGTGAAATATATCATTTATCACTAATATTTGTTATATGAATCAAATCAGGGAAATCATGAATTGTATTTTTTTCATTATTAAGATGGTTATATGCATTTTTATTTGTAGAGATTTAAAAAAAAAAAAATTTCCTAAAAAATATTAAAAACAGTAATTGGATTTTCAAACAAATAAAATTTTTATTGTTAACTTGTGAAAATAGAATGTTCTGTTAAGTTTAAAACACTTTCAAAATTCATTGTTAAATTTTCTTAGCTAATTTTATTTAATTCAGGCTCTTATTTAATTTGTTATCCTTTTTACTGGTTAGCAATCAATTGTTTTGGAAGATTTTCCCTTCTAGATATGGTCAATCATTTGTGGTGCTACTATATAATGGATTTTAGATTTATTAAGAGATTAAATGCATCTAATAAAAATGGGAGGTTATAATGTCTGTTAATAGTGCAGCATATATACAAATTCTTCTACTCTATCTACTGTTCTTTTGCATGAAAAAAAAAACTTTTAGAAATGACATTGTAATTCTTCTGTTTATTTAATCAATAAATTACTCAATTCATATATAAACTTAGCCAAATTTAAAAAAAAAACAAGCTCATTTCTAATAAGCTGTCTATAAATTTGCTTTAAATTTCATGATAAATATTTTCTATAAGCTTTTTAATGCTGTTAGTTAACAAGTATAAATAGAACATTCCATTTAATAAGCTGAAACAAAAAAGCAAA